ATCGCCGACCCCAAGGGCGGCCATGCGTCGCCGCGTATGGAACTGGCGGTCGGCGGTACAGCAGGGGTGGGTTTCGCCAAAAAAAACCAGCGCACAAAGCTGTAGAAGGGATGGAGACTCTCCAGGGGGGTTTGTATTCGATTTTGGAAGTATGGGTTCATCGCGTGCCCCGCAATGACCCAGCTTGTCAACCTTGCATCAGGGCTGACTGATCCATTTCCAACCAATGTTGCCTCAATGTCATTGTCCATCAATACAAGGCTGATTGCATCAGTGTCCGCAATGCCCCATGTTGTGTGTCTGGGTTTTGCGCACCCGTTCTCTTGTTTGCAGGGTGCCTCTCGAAGTCGCGGCCTGGCGTCGCAGCCCCTGGTGGGTGTGGGCGCGCCCCTCATTAGTTTTCGGGGCTGGCTTCCTGTATTGATGCCATTGGGCGGGCGCACCGACCTTGGCATCAGAACGACATTGGGCTGGCTCAACGTTGTCCAGCTTGTGCAATAACAAAGCGACCTGGCCCTCGCTAAAGATTTCGAAACCCTGCTCTAAGACCAAGATTGCACCAATTGCCATCGGCCTTGTTGGCCAGCAGCCAATTTGGTGGCGAACGTTACGTTCGCCAGAGGATCGACCCTGTCACACTCAAGCGCTGACCCGTAACGGCCCACGCGGGCAGGGGCCTGGCGGTGATGCCCCCTGTGCTGTACCCCACTGTGCGATACCTGCCTCTGGCCACTGGAGGCACCAACGACTTGCGTCAAGCGCCAGCCTCGTGGGCGGTGCCTTGCCTCCAGATTTGCCATCAACGAAATGCTCAACCGTTTGAATCTTGAGGGCCATTATTGCGATCCTCAATCAGAATTCGAGCATTCTGGACATGTTGTTTCTGAGCCGCTGTGACCCCCAAGTGGCAGCGGCGGGGCGGTGCAGTGCTCGCCATGTGGAGAGGGGTGCGTGGTGTAAGGAGGGCTGCGCGATGTGCGGAGGGCCGCGTCGTGTGGAGGGGGTGCGCGGCCGCGCCCCTGCCTGCCCTTGCCATCTATATGGGGGCGGTATCTTCAGATACTCAGATCTGTATGATGTGGCCGAAGGTGGCCATGGCGTGTCTTGGCCGAGCGTGCGCGCAAAATGTATTACACAACTTGCGAGAAAAGGATCACGAGCGACTTATCATGCGTGCTGCGTCGCAGGGGCACTGAATGTGCGCGTTTTTGTGCTGCCATGCAGGCGACAGAGTACAATGCGGCGGCTGCCAACTTTGTTGTGGTTTGCGTGCCCCGGCGATCACCTTTCAGCACGAGGGACAGCAGTGATATTCTCTCCACAACCACACACAACAACCTGCTGTGGCCTCCAAACCTCGAACGATCTTCATGCGAACACGCGTACCGTTGATCACCGAGGATAGCGTCCCCCCGCGCTCCACGTCACTGCTGACGTCAGAAATGCGAGGGGCGCTGTCTTGCGTGCCAACGTGGTATCTTCCATGCCCCCGGCGTTCCGCATGAGGTCGCTGACTCAGTACCCCCCCCCCCCCCTCTTGCATTAGCATGCCGGCCCTCGCACCGGCAGCACAGCGCGCCGGCGCCCCCAAAACTTAGCACATTACATAAGGCGCCATTCCCAGCAGCAACCAAAACCGGCACCAACAAAGGTGGAGGGACGCCACAGGTCGCAGGATAATGCCGCGCCACCCGCATAGCCAGATTGATTGGCAAAGCGAACCGGCGCATACTGCATAACATTACATAAGGCTCCAATCACAGCGCCAACCAATAACAGTTATTGGAACGCCGCACTGGACCAGAGGCAGCTTGGATATCCCGATGACCTTGTTTTGAGTGATGGCAGGTATAGAGCTAGACACTGAGATTGTTGAGGATATGGCGTTTGATTCAAGGAGGATTATCATGGTAATGTTTGTTTGGAGTGAACTTGATAAAATTGAGGTGCTGGTATAGGAAATGAGACGTAGGAATATGTGAAAATGCTTTCGCATTGTGGTCGTACGTGATGTTGAAGTGAATAGCCCCCCCCTCCCCACCCCCCCCACCCCCTGCCCCAGCGCTTTCTTGCGTACCCCCCGCGCGCCGCAACACCGGCCATGTTGATAACGCCGAGAGCGCTATCTAGATGCCCCCCACTATTCAAAACCCCCCGAGATATCCTCCATGATCTACGGTACACGAGCTGCTCCCCAACCGCAAGCTTGAATGCGAACAAGCCCGCCGCTGCCACCCCACCCGCCTACCCTGCAAAACTTACCATTGATAGTGTACTCCAACAAAGCGTCCTACCACAATGTCGCTATCAAGACGCATTGCTGCAATGTTGCAGCGAACCCTTGCCAACAAGCCTTGATAGCAACACATCATCAATCCTGGCATTGATGCAACGTTGATCAACCCCACTCTGTGCACACGAGCTCTGAAGACTGGCGCTGATGTAGGCGGCTATCAACGTTGCATCAACGGTCAGGAAATTTCCAGATATGCACACATGAATGTCGACTATTCGGCGACTTAGTCCAATGCAAATGTGTGCGCCGCAGCAGCGAAAACGAAAAGCTGTATCTCAGAGAGTTCATGCGTGGGGTGGTGGCTGAATTGAGTTGCAATTTCACTGAGTGGCGGGATTTCAACCCTGAAAATATCAATCTGGTCCCAATTCCCAACTAGGTCCTGTGCGTCTGCAACTTCAGGAGCTATAATACCAAAGCGCCTTCTTGTCTACACAGCAAATCAAGAAGAGGGTCAGTCGTACTGCTGCAAGAAGCAATGTGCGAACATGGGGTGGACTCTGTTTACTAAAACCCGCCTCAAGGAGATTTTGTGGACTCCACTGCCCTGTTTGCAGCGACCGAGGTTTTGGGAACATCAATCAGTAAACAGACGGCTGTCGGCCGTCTTCCTGTAATCCTGAGAAATCTGATTGAAAGTGACAGTCGTGGCGGCCGTTGGGCTCCAATGGACATCAGAACAAGCTCTTACACGTGGATAAAGGGGCCCAATAACACGTGTTCAAACTTGTACGGGTTTGGATAATTTCCGGGTTTTTAGCGTGCAGAACACTGATGAAATGCATATGTATGTGTTCGCAAAAAAGTGTCATTTGGTCCCTTTTTTGCTAGTGCCAGGATCCCATGCTGCGTTCGGTTCATGCCACTGGCGAGCCTCGCAGGCGCCAGGAATCATGATCCCCAGCGGCGATACGACAGCCTTTTCAATAGAAGACGTTTCTTAGCTAAAGCCACTGTAGTGGCTCATTATAGTTGCTCAATTCATAACGGGCCACTATCCAACAAACCAATACGTACATCTTTTTCACCTCACAGATAAATCAAAGTGCACATGGTGTCACTTTCCAATAGAAGAAAGGAGCTACAGACTCTTTAACTGTCCTCGTTTTGCTTTTCTGCGGCTGACCAGTGAGATCCGGCATTTGATGCATGGATGTGGTGATTGGAATTGAGTTTACCTGTCTGGATTGGGACGCCCTTTTTAGGCCCGGGTTTTGAGGTCTGTCCGATGGGCATAGTTGAGAGAGGATTTTGTTCATATTGACATGGTGATGGCCGTTGCTGGAAGTCAGGCAGGGCAACAAACATGGGATGTATTGGGATATTTGGGACATTTGAGACATTTGGGGCATTTGGGACACTTGGGACATTTGGAACATTACTTGAAGAAACTTTTCCCTTCATGGAATTTCTCTCTTGATGCTCAGGGCTCCCCCTCCAGGACTTTGAGTATTCATCGAACGCTGATGTTTTCTTCTTCTCTTGTTTTGACACCATACATCGGCTCTTGCAAGCAAAGGGTCCCTTTTGTCATTACTATTTGCGGAGGGGGGGGATACTTAGATGACATTTTCGTGTAATATATCTGAACCAGTGTCTTCCAAATGGTAGATATGAAAGCGCAGCAAGGCACCGTGCTGGCGAACAACCGCCTCTTCAGAACACTTGCAGGGAAAAGTTGACGAAACAAGGTACTGAAAGTTAAGAACGTACTAACCCTTACGCCACTTTCCCGAAACGGGATTCGACGGCCAAACGGGGTTGATGGGTGCAGCTGTTGGCGAAAAGGCGACACCACTCGTCCTCACACCCTTGGCTCTGAATGCAACTTGCCAGCATCTTTCCGATGATACTGTCGTCGCATCGGTTGTCTAGTTTCTGGTCCAATGTGCGTTGAGCAGTATCCAGTACTCAGCGAACACTTGCGGAAAATGTGAGCGTGGCCAAGACTCTACAACGCAGCTTGGGTGCCGGTTTTGAACGGACAATTTGTCCACAACGTATCTGATACGTTGGTACACGGACCAGTCAGACCAGTTTATCGATTTGACCGGGGTTAGTGGCAGGACGTCTGCTGATGCACAGCTCAGTATCGGACAGAAATTCAATTTCCTGAAGATGCACGCATCCTCTGTTGCGTCCGCTGGGTGCCCCAAACGGGAGACTTTCCCAATGTGTGAGACGGCAAGCCCGCAGCTGGGCAGCATTGTGCCACCACTGCCCCATATTAGGTTGGTACAGATCTGCCGCAGTTCCAGATATCAACACATTGCATCGGATTGAAAGGTCGTCCTTCTGCAGGCAGACAACGACCAAGTTTCATTCTGTGTTTGATTCCCAGCGTTCAAGCAGCACAGTGCATCGACGTGCATCCTAAATCCGCCGCCTTTCCCATGGCTCTAAATCAAAGGATAACGCAGTGTTCAGGTAGGTTTCAAGATTGGGGACAAATAGGTTGGCAATTCAGTAATCAAATTCTTCACTCATTATGTTTTCTATTGTTGTTTTCTAGGGGTCAACGAGATCTAACGACGATGGTTCACTATGCCATTACGCAGCCATAGCAATTTCTAAATCACTTGCCAGCTAGCCCCAAAGTGCTGGATTAGTGAAAAATACTGTACAGTAGGCTCTAGACCCGGCACAACTCAAACATCAACGACCAACTCCTAAATCCCGTTCCACCATCAAATCAATCCAACCTTCATTCAGACACGCCCCAAATGCTGCTGTTGGGTATTTCTCCCCTCCAATCTGCCTCGCCGCCTCCCCCTTCCTTCAGCAGGCCTTCGAGCCGCTGCTCTACGTCCTGGCAGCTTGGACGGCCCTCAGGCTCGGCCTCAAGGCAATTGTATATCAAGTCCCATAGACACGGTGGGCAGTTTTCTGCCACCCTTGCATTTCGGCATGCTAGTGTACTTCCCGTGATGCACTCCAACATCACCTTGCCCAGGCTGTACACATCTATCTTCTCTGCTCGAACGCGTGGCCTGGATGTAGCCATCCCCTCCCGCAAACACTCCGGGGCCATGTACCACAAAGTGCCACACCGCCTGGCTTCTACCACGGAAGATGTCCTGAACACAGCGCATGTGAAGTCCGCCAGCTTGGCGTTGTGCTCATCGTCCAAGAGTATGTTGGCTGGCTTGATGTCATAGTGAGTCACACCGTGTTTGTGCAGGTGGCTCAAGCCCTTTGTCACGTCCAGGCTGATCTTCACCACCTTCCCGTAGCTTGGGCCTGGCCCTGTCTTCATGAGTAGGTCTTTCAGAGTCATGGGCATCCACTCCTCCACGATGACCGGCTCCTCACCTGGACGCACGCCCATCACTTGGACGACGTTGGGGTGATGGGGGAGCCTGGCCAAGATCTCTATTTCCTTGTTAATGATCGCGAGGCACCTCTCGTCCCCAGCCATCTTCACTGTTTTGATCGCCACACTGCGCAGCGTGCCGCGCTCATCACGCCAAGTGCCCTTCTTCACGCTGCCGTGTGCACCAGCGAACTCCTCCCCGCCCTCCAAAACAGTTACATCCTTCACGTCAAAGAAAGGGAGCGCCCGGCGTTCTTGCTCACCAAGCGAGGCTCGAAGGGTCATGAGTTGGGCGTCCCTCTGTTCTACTGCCGCTCTTTCTGGACCCTGTGGACTCTCTATGTCTTGCTGACTTTCCTCCTGGATCCTGACCCCTCTATTGCATTGTGCGCTACGAGTCAGCAAAATGCGGTCAACACATAAGAAATACGGTAGGAGGCTAACGAACATGGATTCAATAATACTCACGAATGTGAAATGACACGACGCTCTTTGACACAAATGAATTCACCTGGACTGAGAAGCGAATGTGAAACGTTGTGCATGACATTCATCAATGTTAATGATAGCGTCAAAGCACAGGACCACAATTGCCAGGAGGAATGGCAAGAATGTCCATTGTATGTACAAGTGAATTAGCTGGTTTCTGAAATTAAACGCCAACGTAACGAGATTCTTTGAACATTATGAACAATTATCCTTTGGAACTCAAAATTGCACATTCGCCGTACTCTGGGAGATCGAGCAGACATCTGCGAGTGCGTTAAGGACTACACACAGCAATTAGTAGCCTGGGCGGTATACCGTACAGGATGTTCCTCAAGTCTACGTATTCATGAACATTCGGTCAGACATGCAGAGCACATCGCGGCCCTTGCTTCTTTTCACCTATTGAGGTATCTGTCGCACAGTGCCGACAGAATCATTGGCTGCGTTCGCCACAGGAACAAAGCCAGCACGGTGAGGAGTCCAACCGCGATGATCCCAGCCAGCGCGACGGCAAGGGTTGCTGTTTCCTTCGAGTCCCCTCGCTGACGGCATATCGAAGGCATTTTAGAAGACATACAAGTGTTGCCATTGTCAAGTCGCTTAACTTGTGTGACGCAGAGCAAGCATGGGATTGCTGGATCATTGACCCCCCCCAGCAGGCACGTGGTCTCAGAGTCTTGTGGTTTCGCATAACGTACGTCGCTTGTACAGCCCCAGGACGGATGGTCTATCTCATGGCCTTGTTTGGTTTCGCTGCAAGGCGATCATGTCGACACTTATGGGGGCGAACGTGCAACACGAGCTGATCAACGTCACATCAAATACAGCATCAAATGCATCAATTCTCATCTGCGATATTGTTTGTTGACAGTTCTTCTAATGCACATGCTTCTTCGGTGGCAAAATAGCCTTGGCATCCCTCCAGAAAAGTTTGACCAACAAGTGGAACAGCGCTTCTACAGAATCAGAGCGCACAGAATAAGCACCACGCCAAAAACGAGGCAAAGCACGTTCAGGGCGCAAAAGACGGTACATGCGTCGTCATGGTGTGTGTGGCAATGTCAAGTTGCTCTGCTGAGAGCGCTGCACAGTGCGCTGAAAATATGCAAGCTTGGGAAAGGCATTATTTGGTTTCGATGCCCTCCACCTTCAAGGGACATTAAAGGTAGGATTTTCTCTTTCGTTTATTGCAAGGGGAGGGGTTGGGTTGGGTGGGTTGGAGTTGGGGTTGGGGTGGGGGGGTGGGGGGGTGGGGGGGGAGGAGCAGCCCTTCGGGACAAGGGGGCTTCTTGATTGCACAAGCTGGGCAGGGAGGGCGCTTGCAACCGGCGCCACAGCTGGCGCAAGTGCAGGGTCGGAGAGATTTTCAGCTTGATGCTCTGGCTGGTGACGTGCTGCAACAAAAGCCAGGGGTTGGAGCGCCACCCTCCAGAGCTCTTGCTGCACAGTCGTTGAGCACCGCACACTACGCTAACATGTTGCAACTCATCGAGGCGCTTGGTCAGGCTGAGGGTAGTTTTGTGAATGGCATTTGCGCGTGGTGTCCATCAGGTGCTACACTCACTGAATCACAAAGTTACCCCCCATGTAATCGCAAAGGCCAACACAAGGCGTTGTGAATTGCCATTGCTGAATGCGTTTTCGTAGAAATCACAACCTCGGTCTCAACAGAGAAATGGTGTGAAAGAATTCCATGCAGACTCACCTGAGCCGCAACCCTTGGCCCTTCTTCGGCCGTCAGATTGAACTGTGGACAACAACACGCTCTCAGAACACCTATACGACGCACTCCTAGGAATCAAAGGTACAAACAAAAAACACACCTATACAACAAATAGACACATAATCAGCACACACACAATTGACCAAGCAATGCTTCATGATCTCAAATGGGGGCCTATATTCACGCAAAGTCGGTGCCTAGTCCGCCCCAAGAGCAATTGATCAGGTGCAGACAACATTTTCTGAGCAACGGTACAGCACGGCTCACAATGAGCATGCAACACAGTGGAGCTTCATAGACATGATCATTGTCGCTGAGCAGCTAAGTGCGTTCAATACAGTGCCACAGTGACCTTGACAAGTGACAAGTCGATGGCTTTTGCTTGTTTGATAGACTCACTTAACTACCAAAACATTCATCACCATGAAATGTCAACAAGCATTCCGATTGAATGCAGTGCTATCAAATGCTGTTCGATGCCCTTTGGAATGCCGTTTGCTGAATTAGTGCTGCAGGCAAGTGCAACACCAAGTATTGTAATCAAGAAAGGCATTAACGACTGCATATCGCACCACCCCAGCACAGCGTACACCAGAGCACAGGATAAATGCTGATGAGGTGCTGGTCACTGGCGAAAGCAAAACTGCTCTGACATGGCATTTGCCAAGCACTGCAGAAGAGTACAATGCAGTGCGAGGTGCCGTGGCTGTGCTTCTGGCAAGTGAGGCAAAAAAAAAACGGTCAAGCAAGCAATGTCATAGGGCCAGCACTGAGCAGCTGCTCAGCAGCCAAGTATGTCCCGAGGGGCTGTTGTAAGCCACCCCTTGAATGGCAGTCTCTGTGGCAGCACCAAGTCTAGGCACAGCACCAAAAGAGGCAAAATCTGTCTTGTCACCTCGCAGACGTCCTGGAGTTCGTCCTTTGAGCAGCAGTAGAGATCTTTGTATGACTTGGGATCGCCGAAATCGCAGAAGACGCTTTGACTGGTTGCGGTATTGACCGACTTCTTTTCAATGCCTCCAATGCATCCACCAGAGAATGCACACCCTTCCGCAGTCGTATTCCACAGCTCCTCCGGCAGCACCACAGCCACATTTTCCTGCAGCGTTGAGAGCACACATCAAGACACATGGGCGAACGGACGTCAGCGCTTTCATCACAGCACTGTGTATTGACACAGCCCACAACACCCGGGTGTCTGAATTAGTTCCGGCACATGTGTATAGTCTGCCACACATAGCACAGGCAAGAATGCACAGTGCAAGCCCAGTAATTCAAGCTGTTGTCAACACACCGGCCATACTTAACAATACGCTTCACTGAAGAAGACAACCCAGCATTACTGTGCACTGGGAATCCTCGTACGAGAATATATCATCAAACACAGGAGCAGTGCCAAAAAGTGCTTTGCAAAGAGACAAGAGCGCCGCAGGCAAATAGCAAGCCTCAGGAACGTATGGTGGGCCCAATGATGGGAATATCCAGCACAAGGAGTGCAGTCGGCGCCAATCGCCGTAAATGCAATCCAAAAGTACACCGCAAATGTCAAACAGCTGTTACCAATTGGCATTGTGGCACGAGCTCATGTTCATCCATGATGCAAGATTTTCCATAGCTTACACAATGACAGAAGTTGCATTGCAAAGTGAAATACCTGCCACTGGATGGTCACTCTGCATGGCCTGTGCATGCTCCCAACCCCCCTTGCACAAGCAAAAGGCTAATGGACATCGCCAGAATTCAACTACGCAAGGCAGCTGGCCATTGATCTGACACTTTAGGCGATGCACGCACTACAACACTTGCAGTTGTGAGAGAGGGACTGGCCCAGGAGGTGCACATGCGCCTGGTTGAATGACAGTGGTACGAAACGTACAGATCAGCGAATCTCCAACATTGGAACTAAAATCTGGGTCACCTGAACAAGCCGTCAGGGGAACTCAGTTCCTCTCAGTCTGAGGTATGTCCAGTACCATCATTTGTGGATGTCACGAATGGCATGAAGGGAGCAAAGGCCCTGAAATTACGACCTAAAATCTCAAGCCCGAAACGAACTTGACAAACATGTCCAGAATCGAAGGGTGTCAAACACTTGTGTAGAAACATCCATGGGGTGGGAGAGTTGCCCCTCTGTCACGGTGTACAAAGGACACTCGTGATCTGGGCGCCTTCCCCCAGCCCCTTTTCTCTCCTGTGGGGCGCTTCCCTCATTTTGTGGGGAATACATTTGCAATATGCACAGAGAGCTCCCTAAGATTGTGCTGCAGCACAGGGACGTGGCGGTGCAGTGAGCGAGGAAGCTATCCCATTTGACCTGATTTCTCGACAGAGATACTTGGCTGTCAGGCATCGTCATCCCTTGTTATTCCTTTTGGCCTAAAAACTCTTATCAGGATGTGATGGGCTCGTAAGCACATGCTTATGTGTCCTCACCGCACCTGGCAAGCCGTGAGCTGCGCAGCTTCCTTGAACTGGCAGACAAACGCCGTTTTGTGACTGCAGATGCGACTCCACACATTGCGATGGGTCCCCCGTGGATCGACGTAGCCCCCTCTGCAGCTGCCGATGATGGGGGGCTCTTGAAACCACAGATGGGCTGTCAATCCATCGGGTACCTGACACAACAAATTGCATTCATCTGAATGCCCGATGACAATTGCCACAAATTGCAGTACACTGAATGTTCGGTGGCAATTCCCGTGGCGACATTCTTGAGGACGGCGGCAACAATATGGAAGCCGTCAAAGTGGTGATGCGCAGTACACTGTACATGTGCACATGTGCACACCACTTCAGGAAAAGCGGTACAAGCAACTACCGCAAACCGCTAACCTCTTTATGACTTTCAAAACAGGCTGTCAAGCATTTCCAGCCACAGTGCATTGCTCCGGCCCATGTGTTCCAGTACACGAATAGCAAAAGTATCTACACAGAGTGCACAGATTCGTGCAAATACGATGTAAAGAATACGCATGCATGTGTAGATAGAAGATGTGTTGATGTACAGATAAAGGATACAGCATAGCAATCAACAACAGAAAAGCAACCAGTAGAAAATACTGAAACAATCAAAACTTGGTAAACAAGAGTAGCAAAGTAAAGCAGACAATGCAACAGCTGGTGGTTGCCCTGAAGCTGCCTCAACAAGCAGGCACCCACCACCAGGGAAGAGCTCAGAAACTTCCACGGGTTGCCGGGCTGGAGGCCAATCCATGCACCATCCGGAGGCACGATCGAAGCCAAAAAGTGCAAGTCGTCATTGACCTGGTCAACGTTCGGTTCCGCCAGCCATCCACCCATATCCTTGCACCGTTGCTGCGCCCTCATAAAGTCCGTTGGTGCCGTTTCAAGAATGTAATGCATGCCCCTATATGCGAAACATTTTTCTGCGCCTGATGGGTGCCACAAACGGGTTGGGCACTCTGACAATGGCCCTCTCATTTCCTATGCAAATGCACCATCCTGTCAGTACGCTCCAAAACGACTTGAAAACCACTGTGTGCAGCACTTTATTGCAACACATTGCTCCCCACAGTAATAAAGCCCATATGTTCTTGGCCCTTGTGTGCAGACCTGTAGCTTGCAGGTGTCATATTTGTACGCCCCGTTGCAGGCCCTCACTCTTCTGAGATTCTCGTCGACCATGATCTCCACCTGCGATGCAGTGCGCAGTACTGGATTGAGCACTGGCGCAGGTACATTGTTGAACAAGAGCACCACCAACACACCAGTACTTTTGCTTTGTACTTTGCAAACCGCTGCCTCTCTGCTTCAGTTGAAAATTCCCAGCTGAAGGCCATAACATTGAACTCTGTAGCAACACGAACCCATGAACATAGAGAACTAAAGTAAATGTAGATTAAGTGTCCAATAATTTTACAGCAAATGTTGAGTAAGCATGCAATGAAAACATAGAGTAGTAAAGAAATACTACCTCCAACACAAAAGTCTGTTGTCCAATCTTGCCGTGGATTTGCAAGATCAACTGGTCAACCTGCCACCAAATTCAGATTCACTGGTCATTGCTAGGTTGGTGTGGATATTGTTCATATTGGTCATCACCACATAACACGAGCTTCACAACTTTATCAAGGTGTCCCTGTCCGTTCGTGTTTGGACTCCAATTCCTAGTAGTTGTGTAGTAGTAGCTGCGGACAACAACTGAGTATTACTGTGCCCTTTCAAGAGTTCTAGAGTCATCATTTTCATCCTCTTTGTAAACCATCCCATCCACCATGCTCAATATTGTTTCCGAAATCACCGACTTTCAATAACCTCAATCTAATCCTTTGCTTTGGTTACCACCACCGTGCACCATCTTCCAGACCTTGGTACATCCACCAAGTTCATGCTCTTGCACAAATCAAGGTGCTCTTGACCTTTGGTCTCAACATTTGGGCAGTACTCGTCAACATCTCAATTTTTGTGGCAACCCCCCAACCTTTGCACTGCGGATTCTCTTTGGAATCTAGCTGTATCTTTTATCAATATTCATCTTTCTGAATATGTATCTAGCTGTATATATATGTATCTAGCTGTACCTTTTACGCACACCAAGCCATAAAGCCATACATCTCTCCTAGGGGTAGCTCAGCTCAGTCCATCTCTATGGCAGGGTGAACAAGGTTGCTGTGGCTCAGGTTTGGTCCCAACACAAGGAAAATGCCATTTGAGCTCCTCTTGACAAATTGTGAGCATGGCAATAATGTCCGCCAAGTTGGAGCACTCTACGGATAGCTCTCGACAATGCGCATCGAACCTGCTTCGGCCAATTTTCTGACTCACAAGTTTTGAGCTTCATTTGCACCCATAAAATAATGATCAAGACTATTGTAACAGAGGTAGCACATAGAGTACTACATAAAGTACTACCACACCTGTTGCTCCCCCAGCCCGTCTTCTTTCAGTTCTCTCAGTGCCACCTCCTTGGCAATGACGGCGTACAGCCGTTTGCTTTCAGATGAAGTTCCGTTGGCACACCTGGGCACAAATTAGGCCAACAATCTGGTTAGTCACATATCTTGACAATCTGGTGTAGATGGCTCTACCGAAAATAGATGTGATGAATGCAACAACGATAACCGTCTGTTGGAATTGCAATGTGCGAAATTTGCAAACGTGCAGGAAAGCTGGTGCGGCAGAGACTTGCCAAGTGCCAACCCTTGTGTAGCAAAGTACCAGAGGGCGGGGCATGGGGCGCTGGCGGTTTGCGCATGGAGCGGCATGGGCGGCAGCTTTGATCTGATCGTGACCTCAGGAGAGGGTCGACTCCTATCAGAAAAGCTTGGCGCACAATTCGTAGTGGTACTTCTAGGCATCCCCCAAAAGGCTTCAATCAGCTAAGTGTTGTGTATGCACTCCCTTTTGGCAGAGTTGGAAAATGAACAGTAACCCCCACGGGCATCACAGATGGCCGCACGCAGGATGCTTCGATTTGCATGGCAAGAATCACCCCACACGCATTTCGTGTGCCCAACAAGGCTGTCCGCCAGTCGCCGAGGGACAGACAAGGGTGCATAAAGGGGAGGAAAGGAAGGGTGCTGAAAGGAGGGAAATAATCCGATGGTCTGCGCAGCAAAGATGAGGAGCAATGGAGTGATGTAGCAGCCTTTGAGGCAGCCATGGAAAGGTCTTTGCCCACTTGAAGTGACTGCTGAATGGGCTAGATCCTTGCCAGGATCATCAGAACAGTGGCTTACTCTTTGAAGAGTCGATGCCACCAGTTCTCGCCATTGTCTGCAAGCACATATTTTTGGCAAGTGAAACTGAAAAGCACAGAGAGAACCAGAAACGTTTTGGCAGCAACAGAGTAGAATTCTGCGACCCTAAACTTCTGGAATTCCAGTATTTCCACTGCAACGACTCAGCGATTCAGCGATTTCGAGAATGCGCTTACCTTGGGTTCACAAACACTGGATACACCACGTTTGTTCTTCTAGTCAGTGTCCGAAAATCGGACCTCGTTGGCGTAAAGATGGCACTCCTGGCCGTTTCGGGCTCCATGGCAAATGCCAAGAATTGAAAATAGCCCGGCATGTTGTTGAGGGGCTCACCGCGACCTCCACAGTGACAAGAGAACCACAAAGGCCCCTCAGTACTTAACAGCACTGCATGGGGAATGCCAGCCACCAGGCATAGCATCAATGAAAAGCGACATTAACAGAAAATGGAATGAACATACGATGTTGACACACGCAACACATGGCACAATGCAAAAAGTATTGACATGAGCCACTTCTTTGATCAGGACAGCACCGCGACCTCCTCATAACATTTTGCCAGGTGCTCACCATGAATCAGGATTTATGATCTCCTCAATAACCAAATACACAATGCAAAAGACTACGCCAGTGCTGCAGGTGCTTACCATCCAGCCTGAACCATGCGCCCCCATTGGCACAGGCCAGCTGCCGCGCCAAGCCATCATCTGCGCCATTCATCGTCAGAGTGAAGACCGCCGCTCGACTGGAAGAAACCTCCAATGCACGCTGCCTGACCTCCACAGCCTCCAGGTATTTCTGAATGCCATTCTGCAGGCGCCGGTCTCCCGGCCCTTGCGACCCTCCCACACGTTGATCCTCTGATGCCTGTGGTCCTCTTAGCGAGCAAGGAAGATCGCCGTCCAATGCACAGTCTCTGCCATTGCCTATGTAGATTATGATCTGGACAATGGAACAATGCAAATGGTGAATGTAATTCGGATGAATTTCGGGACATGTTCGATGCCGAATATCCAATACATGAAATGCAGCCTCCTGTACTCCTCTGCTGACTGAACTGGCAGACTTTCAAGATCTGAATGCCGGCCAGTGGATGGCAAATTTTGCCAAGGAGTTGCCACTCACGTTTTGGCAGATGGTCCTGCCACCTTCAAGCACATCAAAGCTGGCTTCAAACGCCGCTGAGCCGTCAGACCCCATCATAGGGGTCACCTTGTCCAGATCGGCTTCCAGTGCTTGGATGTTGTCTGTGGTGGCCTTCATCAGAGTGCTGCTCAGCAGGGGGGTGGCTCGGGTATTGTAAACTATGATGCTGACATGGTCGTTGTTGTGGTCAAGGGTTGCCAGCACGCCCTTTGCCGTTTCTTTTGCAACATTCCATTGTGTTTCCGTGCTGCTGGCACCGGGATGAAATTGGCGATTCATGGAACCTGAATGACATATAACAGTAAAACGATGTCATTCAGCAATAGAATGAGAAGCACATGCATGGCAGTGCACCAGAGATGAGAGCACAAATGTCTGAGCACAGACACATCTGGGAATGTCGCAAATATTTTCCTACTGATGTCATTGGCACAACTACTAATCTTCTTCTCGTTTACTGATGATTGGGTTTCTGTTCCTGAGACATAGATCAATGGTCGAATGTCGTCCTGCTTCCCAAATTTGGACAAGGCAACAGACACGGCAGCAGGTTGATCCAATGTTTCAAAGTTGAGCATCAAGCAACATATATCTGTTTCAAAGTTATGTCCCCTATCTCAAGCCGCACAAATGGAAACGAAAACACGAGAGTCAGATATTCAACAAATTCAACCTCACAGTGAGGCCCATTATGTGCCTTTTTGAGGAACACATCAAGGCGCTAAACGTCTCAAACGGCGCTGCCACTCTCAACACATGCCAAAACAGGGCTACACGTGGCCCAGACGTTGGGTGCAGTGCACTGAGTTTGCCTTGGACTTGGTATAGGCTTGTGGGGCTGAGCCATTGTGGATGAGTCACTGCACCATGCAGCTGATACAGGATCACTGCCCCGTACTTTGAACCATTGTGAGAGAAGCATGTTATGGTGACTGCCTTGAAATCTCCATTCTTGGAGCACTGCACTGCACTGGCATGTGGCTTCAGACTAAATTGATTTGCTTAATATTGCCTTCGAAAGACAAAACGGTGCATTGTGCAAA